TTTGCGACAATAATTATCCTGAGGCATGGAGTCTTCTTTGTGAGCGTTTTAATAATATTCGTCAATTAATAAATAATCATTTGAAGTCTTTGTTTAATATTGAGCCGTTGCGTGAGTCTGACAAGTCATTAAGATTTCTAGTAGACCACGTCACAAAAAACCTACGTGCTTTAAATACTTTAAAACAGCCAACTGATCATTGGGATACCCTGATCATATTCATAGTCTCAGCGAAATTAGACAGCAACACGCGTGTTAAATGGGAGGAGTACATTCAAGCTAATGTTAATGCTTCGGATATGCCTAGCCTAGATGATTTCATGACTTTTATTAAGGGCCGCGCTGAAGTTTTAGAGTCTGTTTATCGCAGTAAACAAGACAAAAATATAAAGTCAAACCCGAATCACAATCAAGGCGTCAAACAAAATCCCGTTTCTCATACTAAGTCATTCGTTAGCGCTGAGCAGGGCGACTCATCAGCAACTGCCCCTCACAAGTGTATTTTCTGTGGTCAAGGTCATCGTAATTATGAGTGCTCACAATTTCAATCGAAATCTATTGATGATAGACTTTCATTAGTGTCCGAGCTAAAGTTGTGTCCCAACTGTTTGCGCAAAGGGCATAATACGCGCGCATGCAAGCTTCCAGGTACGTGCAAGATATGCAAAAAACGTCACAATACCTTTTTACACAAACCTACGGATTCTGATACCAATGTGGCAGTCACTAATGTTGCAGTCTCTGAACCAGTTTCAATGTCAGCTGTTTCTGCTTCTGAGACACTACTATGTACGGCTTTGGTTGATATTTTTAATCCCAAAACAATCAATTACATTACCACTAAAGCTCTCTTACACAACGGTAGTCAGTCTAGCTTTATTACAGAATCACTTAAATCAAAGTTAAATTTAACTTCTTCCACGTCTGATGTTAGGAATGTGGTCGGCATATGTAACACTATTGTCAAGCTTAATGCTGAACGTTGCAATGTTCGAATTCATTCAAAGGTAGGTTCTTTCAGCGTTATGACGTCATGTTTAGTCATACCCCAAATATCAGGTAAGATACCTAAGTCTCTTGTGTCTATTACACACCTTAACCTGAAGTCCTTTGCATTAGCAGACCCCAGCTTTTATGAGCCGTCTGACATAGGACTGCTCATCGGTGCTGACCTATTTTGGTCCATTATTGGAACCAAACAGCACTCTTTAGGCAAAGGAAATCCTATTCTACATGAGTCTAAATTAGGATGGCTTATCGCAGGTCCCATGCACTATATTCAAAATGACAATCTCAATTTAAATTCCCCAGTGAAATGTAATTTTGTAAGTATTGAAAGCAACAATACTTTAGTTGAGCTTCACAATGATTTGAAGAGGTTTTGGGAGTTTGAAAGCTTGCCACAAAGGCCCCTTCTTACAGACCAAGAGAAAGCTTGCGAACAACATTTTTTACAGCACACAAAACGCACTGAAGAAGGTCGTTTTTGTGTCAAGCTGCCATTGATCGACAAACCAGACTGCCTAGGCACTTCCTATTTCATAGCCAGGCGGCGATTTATAAACCTGGAACGTCGCTTTCGCAAGCAACCGGAACTTAAGTCCGCCTATGTTGATTTCATTGAAGAGTATCGCAAACTAGGACATCTAGCAATATCTGAGGTAGACCGACCTGAGCTTGCCTATTTTGTTCCGCATCATCCTGTCATTCGTGAAGACAGTGAGTCAACACGTCTACGCGTCGTTTTTGACGCATCAGCTCGCACTTCATCTGGTTTGTCTATAAACGACATTCAAATGATAGGCCCTACAGTTCAAGACTCTCTTTTCAATATCCTCATCCGGTTCCGGCAATATCGTTATGTGTTGTCAGCGGATATTGAAAAAATGTACCGGCAGGTTTTAATAGATGAGTCTGACCGAAACCTACAGCTGATTTTATGGCGTGATGCGGAGGACAAACCATTACAAACACTCAGGCTTAACACGGTCACCTACGGATTTGCTAGCGCTAGTTTCCTTGCCACCAGGTGTCTCTGGCAAGTGGGCGAGGAGTGTGACGATGACGTTATTAAGGCAGTCATACAGGAGGACATATATGTTGATGACTTACTAACTTCTAGCGATGATGAAGATCAATTACGGTCTATACAGAAATCAACACATGTGGCTCTTTCTATGGCTGGTTTTGACTTGCGTAAGTACCGATCCAACTTACCTTCTTTACTGCCTTCAGACGTTGTCCAGTCATCCGGCAACCTACCTGCTCAAAGACTAATGCCCGACTTTCCTTTTATTACAGTAGGGACTGATTTCGCTGGGCCATTTATGGTCACGGATCGCAAAGGTCGTGGTTGTAAAATTACAAAATGTTATTTGTGTATTTTCATATGTTTTAGGTATAAGTGCATCCATTTGGAGGCTGTTAGTGAGCTGTCCAAGGATGCTTTTATATTAACTTTGAGACGCTTTGTTTCACGGAGAGGGCTACCAAAGCAGATATTCTGCGACAATGGTGGAAACTTTGTAGCTGCTTCAAAGGAACTTAAAGAGTTTTTTGAAGTTAATGCCAAAACTATCGCTAATTTTGCCGCTAACGAAGGCGTTGAATTTTGTTTTTCGCCTGCATACGCTCCTCACTTCAATGGTTTGATGGAGGCCGGTGTAAAGTCAGCCAAATTCCACCTGGCTAGGATATTAGGGACTACGCACCTAACCTATGAGGAATTGTCATCTTTGTTCACACAAATAGAATGTATCCTAAATAGCCGCCCCCTATGTCCATTAAGTTCCTCTCCCACGGACTATTATCCCTTAACTCCGGGCCACTTTTTAATTGGTAGACCACTAAGCTCGCTGCCATCTCCGTGTCTACAATCCGCTAATGCCAATCGTCTCGACAGATTCCAGCGCATCGAGCAGTTTAAGCAACACTTTTGGCGACGTTGGAGCCACGAGTACATTGCGGAGCTGCAGTTGAGGACGAAGTGGCGCACGAAGTCCAAAGAGAGCCTACAAATTGACGACCTAGTCCTCTTGAAAGAGGAAAACGCTCCACCGCTCTATTGGCGTCTCGGACGTGTAAGAAAACTCTTCCCGGGATCTGACGGATTGACACGCGTCGCAGATATAGACACTGCAAGAGGAATTGTGCGGCGCGCCCTAAACAGAATCGTCCTACTACCGAAGCCCGATGAGTTGGAAGATCTTGAAAGCTGTTAAGCTTTCCAGCGCCGGGAGTATGTCGGCGCCGTTACGACAGCACCGACGGTGTTTGCGGGGAGTATGTGAAGTGCGGGGGGTTTCTCACCACCGCGCCTAAGACCGGCACTCGCCGATAGCTCGCGACCCGATCGCCACCAAATATTTTGTATTTTTCATTCCTTTTAAATATACAATTTGCCTATCGTGTGAGTCGCCTATTTTATTCATGTTCCCTAATTGAACACTGGCCATACAGTTTTATTTTGACAGATGGTAGATTTAACAGCTGTGTAGGGTCTATACACCATCGGCCATGATGGACGAATTCTAGTGATCACGATCGTGTAGAGAGCATAATCGCCTATAACTACCCATGATCGGTAATTATCGAGCGTAATGGCCGCTGTGTCGGTTTTTCGGACAAACATCAAAAGAAGTCCGGCCATGATCCCGCACGCCTCTACATGATCGCCGAACGCCGATACTCTATACACTTACCTTGTTCTATATCGGTGTATTGTTAACATACACCGTAAAAACACAAACAAGTAAAAATAGAACAACTTTCTTTTTTTTCACCATTCTATTATGGTCTACATTTCAATAATAGTTATATTATAAACTAATTATAATAATGAGCGGCAGCTGCCACTGTTTCAACGTTCATCTCGGACAGATGAAAATACAAATACAATATGTAGGATGCACGATTGTGTGGGCAGCCGCGCAATGATTTTTTTTATAGGATAGGGTGACAAACGAGCACACAGTTCACCTGATGGTAAGTAGTTGCTGTGACCCATAGACATCTACATCTATCCTCGTTTGCGAATCAAAATGCAGATGCGATGTCACCCGTGAGGATTAAGATGGAATGCCTCTTTTCCAGTGAAAAGGGTATCCGGTTCTCTACACTCACCGTACGAAACACGTTGTGTTTCGTTTTACGTTGGTATTCTGTGAGAGTGTGGTCCTTCCCCGGTCGAGCCGACCCATTCGTGCTACAACTATACTAACTAATATAGCTGCAGCATGGCTCTACCACGTAATTTTGTAATAATAATAATTGTGACAATCATGCCCCATTCTGTAGTTGTCAATCAAGGCCGATGGTGTATACGCGGGGTAAAATTTGTTGCACCACGACTCAATTTTCAGTTAGCGCATTCAGCCGGCGCAGTAAACTGCGCCTGAGTTACTGAATAAACGCGAGGAAATTTAAAGTTACCCATATCTAAAATGCAATAACATCCGAAGTACATAATGCCACGTCCACAATACCCTACCGTCTACCGCCCGTTTGCCGCAATAATTGTGGAATTAAATTACTGCCTCAATTACCGCGTGAAGTTGTATGGGTAAACTAGTTTACCTAGATGTGACAATGAAATAGGCGGAAAAATGTCATGATGAAACTGCGGCGGTGTTGTACTTTATGAGTGTCAGCAGTTACTATTAATTGAATCTTATACATTTTAACAAAACTAAACCAAAACTTAAAAGAAGATAGTGGATGATGAAAATGCACAGAAAGCCGTTTGTTTCCGTTGAGCTCATATCGCAGACTGAACAAACTTTAGTGTGGCCATTTGACGCAAAAATTACCGCTTTTTTGAAAAAGACCGCCACCGGAGCTATTGCCTACCGTTACATACCATATTGATTGAAATTGTAAAATTTGTCCATAAATCGTGGCCACACCTAGGCGTTGTTTCAATTATGGCCATAATTATTGCCATATCACGGTATTGTGGCCGTAGCAAAGACATTAGAAAAAACAGTAAGCTATTCACCTACCTGGAACATTCGGCCGCAGACCTCGCACATGCACGGCGACTTCATCGACGGGTACTTGGTTCGATTCTTGTCCGGGTGCATCCTCCTGAAGTGGCCGTGGTACGCCCTCGAGTCCTCCAGTTGCATCCCGCACTGAAATTGAAAAGATACATATAAATACATACTGTAATACTAGAGGGGTAGAGTACAAAGAGCAGCGAGCTAACTTGTGCTTCACCATTATTTCAATTTTAAAGAAAATAAAGATAAAACTAAATTCGTACTCTATTCAATGAGCTATAAACGAGTAAGAAAAAGATGAATTGAAATAAAAAAAATATTTTTATCTGTTCATACAAGTGATGAAACAGAATGAATCTATAAAATAAATGTTATTACATTCGCTGCAATTAACCCTTAGTTACGCAAATATTAAAAATAATTTAATTTAATTTTTATTTTTCGACTCAGTGTCAATATTGTACACTAAACATCAAAATTTCAGGTCTGATTCCGTCGGCGAGCTAGAGATTCAAGACATACTGACAGACAGAGTAACATTAATACGGTTTCGTTCTATACTTTAGGTATGGAAAGCTAAAACACTAATAATACCTGTTCACATGGTATAGGTCCCTCCGCTTTCCTTATCTGACTTGGATACAATTTTCTCTTCTCACTCGACTCTCTTTCTCTACTCTTCTCCCTTGATAATTTGTCTCTATCTTTTGCTTCTCTCGGCTTCCTACCTTTCTTAGGTTTGTTAGGCTCTTTCGAGTCACTAAAAAAAACAATAATAATTTATTATAAATTTTAAATAGCAATGTGGCAATAGTTAAAGAGAATATATTATCTCATTAAGTTCCGTGTGTGTTGTGAGAGGCCATGAGAAATATCCGAAAAACCCCATGAAATTGAAAAAGCCGGCCAAGCGCGAGTCGGACTTGCTCATAAAGGGTTCCGTACCATCGTAAAACACGTTTAGTAGCGTTAAACACGTTAAAACGTTATTAAAAATAACGTTTTTAAAACGTTTGGAACGGTTCCTTGTATAACATTATGTTTGGAACAAAAACGAAATGAGAACGAAATGTATGAACGTAAAAAACGGTTTATTTCGCAGAAAGCTAAAGGGATGACGCGTGCCGCCACAAGTTTAAACGTGTTTACTTAGTTTGCATTCATTTCATTACACCAGGGATTCCGATGCACTTGGTGCTAGCGAACCGATTGATTTTTTGTGACGTGTATTGTTTTTTTTTTTTGTAGAATAAGGATAACAAACGAGCACACAGTCCACCTGATGGCAAGGGGTTGCTGTGACCCATAGAAACTGTGACTGAATCAACCATGCTTTCTCTATAACGCACAACTAAATCGTAACGTACACACAGAATAATGTATATCAGTCACAGTACTTTAATTAAATTACTGTAAATTTATAATAATCCATACATCTATCTGCAAGGCCGTAAAATTAGAACTGTACTGGATGTGTATTATTTTTTTTTTCATATTGCGAGGTGAAAAAATGGGAAAAAAAACAGTTTAAAAGGTTTAAAAACGCTTTATTGAACAAGAACCATTTAAAATTTCGTTCTCTTCATAAACTTTTTAATTATGATTCCGTTCGAACATAAACGAAACAAATCAGATTTTAAGTATTTAAGGCAAAACTGTTTCGAAAAATATACCGTTATTCGAGCCCTGGTAGGGAAGCACACTTTAACTTTTAATTTATTTTTATCTTTGTTATTTTTATTTTTAGCAGCAACATAAATACACATTCTGTGTAAAATTTTAACTGTCTACCTATTACGGATCATGAGATACAGCCCGCTCACAGACAGACGGACGGACAGACAGCGGAGGCTTAGTAATAGGATCCCGTTGGTTATCTTTTGGATACGAAACCCTAAAAATGGTAGTACAACCATGTTGTTTACGCTAGAAGCAAAATAACCACACCGCACCGGTGAGATATAGCAATGACAAAGGTGCTCACGTATGGCACTGACACCGTCAATGCAATACAAATCGCGTACACATGTGTCAATCGTGAACGATACGTTCATTTGACCCGGGTCTCATCAAAGTGTTAATGATTACAATTACATTTTTGAACGTTTCTACGACCAAAGGGTATAGTAATATCCAACGACCGACATTATCGAGCGGCTCTCACAGTTCACAAAGCACTGAAACCCGAAATGACCCACTTGAATGATCGACCCGGTTTGTAAGTCTAATTAATATTTGAATTATTGCGTTACTAGAAATGAATGAATGACACATGTCTACAATCGCGGCTATTAAAGGTATATCTTTTCTTCGTTTACTTTAGACGTAGAATACCGAAACTATGGTTGCGTTAAAGAGGGTTTAGAAGCGTCAGTAGCCTAATGGCGGGGCGCGGACCGACAACTCGAAAGGTCGTAGGTTCGAATCCGCTATTCGACTACTGTCGTGAACCACTTTTAACACAAGCATTTTAAGCTTACTAGAAGTGGTTAAAGGGAATATTACTAATGTTTAATAGCATTAATAGTATTTTTTTTTAAAAAGGGTGGTCTAGGCTCAGACGGATTTCTAAAAAGAAAAAGAGCTCTACCAAGTAAATGTAACACTGTAACAGCTTAATAAAGTCCACTGTTGAACTTAGGTCTCTTCCATAGATTGCCTCGTAGGGAGGATATTTACCATAGTCGCCACGCTCCGAAAGTGGGTAGGCAAGCTTTAACCAATCGCAATAGGCCGTAACTAGTAGTAGCCGACTAAACCTAGGTGTACCCACATTTCGACTTTTAACCGAACATATATACATACAATAGAAACTGATTTTTTTTATTTAAGATGAAAGCTTTTTTTGGAATTTGCTGGTCAGGAACAGGTTGAATGTTTAACATAATATGATTCGCGACCGTAACGAGTATGTGTTTATAGAATTATTATCATTAAAATCACCAATACAACCCTCTAAGTTCATATAATCCTTTTGAATGAGTTTTTCTGGAAATAGCTATATAATGGGATTATACGAACTTGGAGGGTTGTATTGATGATTATAATGATTATAATTCTATAAATACGTACTCGTTACGGTAGCGAATCATATTTTATTAAACATACAACCTGACACCGACCTACAAATTGCAAAAAACGTAAGAAAATTTGGATTTTGCGGGTTACCCTAGCGCTTTCACCTTAAAACGCAACAAAAAAACTTTCAATGATGAAATTCTGTGTGAACATTTGCATAACAAATAAATTCACAAAGTCCCAACTAGCGACATCTGGTGAGTGTAAGAGTATTAGCCCTGATTGGCGTCAGATAATGAATCCTACCACTTAGCCAGTGTTCAAATCTACCTGAGTGTGCACATTATACAGGCTATGGACAGAAACGGCAGTACAGCAACTCACTTGTCGGGCGCGCTGTGGCGGGCCGACACGTGCAGGTGGCGCCGGTACGCGTCCTGCGACACGAAGCGCACGCTGCACACCTCGCACAGCGGCCCGTCTTCCCCCACCTACAAATTTTACGGCACGCAGTAGAGACACGCTGCAGCTGCATTATGGTTGCAGCAAGAATGGCTCGGCTCAACCAGGGAAGGACCACGCTCTCACAGAATACCAGTGAAACAGCAACTTAATGCTGCTGTGTCTCGTATGAAGAATGTAGAGAACCGCAGGCGCTAGAAACGAAGCATACCATTCTTTCTGCATTCCTTCCTCAGAAGTGAAAACGCATCTGCATTTTGATTCTTAATCGATGGTAGATGTATATGTCTACGGGCCCCTGCGTTTACTTACCATCAGGTGGGCTGTGTGCTCGATTGTCAACCTTATTCAATAAAAAATAAAAATGAAACTCAATATGCACTATTTTTTTAAATCATCACTATAATCTATCATAAGTCAACTGACGAACATAGGCTTCCCCCACTAATTGTCTCACAGGGATATTTCCCATGGATTCCATGCTTGGCGAGTGGGTTACCAATCGATTTTTTTTATTAGTTTAGAATTGTTATCAGGAAGACGCTGCTGCCCATCTCCTGCTGCTGCCCATCTCCTGCTGCTTCCCTCTAGTGCCTCTTCCGAAACCCACTGAATGATATTGACTACTGGATTCTCTTACGTTGCCTTACATGCTTTTCGACAGTGGCAGAGCCACGTGGAAGCTTTTGCTGTCGCACGGATGGGCCGGCTCGAACCGCGGTGGTACCACGACCTCACAAAAAACCAGCGTGCAATAGAAGTTTACCTCTGCGTTTCGCTTGGTGAGTGCAGGTGGCCGGAGGCCCTTTTTACTGGAAATGAGGCATTCCATCTTAGTCCTCCCGGGTGACAACGCATCTACATTTTGATTTGTAATAGAGGATTAATGTAGATATCTATGGGCCGCAGCAACCACTTACCATCAGGTGGACTGTGTGCTCGTTTGTCACCCTTATTCTATATATATAAAAAAATATACAGTGGAATCCGTTTAGACATAAATCAAAATAAAAATTGTACGTAATAAGTACATATGAAATGTGTTTTTTTTTTCATTTTTTACATAAGAAATCAGTAATGCTTGTTTGCTTTTGTTTTTTCCTTAATAACAGTCTCTAATACTATCGTCTAAAGAAGACATCGACATTACCCACTGAGGCTCAAAACAAAAAAAAGCCATGCACGCGCCGAACATCTTCGGGTGTCACGTGACTCTCCCGAACACTGCCGAAGGTGTTAGTAATCATGTTGGTCACTTTAACCGGACACATTTATTAAAAATGTGTACAATACGTGACATGTCACTATAAGCGAAGTCATTGTATCCGACTTTATTATAAAGAATTTTATATGAAAACCAAACTTCGCTGTGGAATTACTTCATAATAAGAGGTTGGTCAATATAGGCGGAGTCATAATAAACGGATTCTACTGTAGTTGATGTAGTTATTCGTTTAATTTCATATGATTTAAAAAAGAACACAAGCAAGTTTAATTCCGTTTTTTAAAAAAAATCCGACTGCGTAAAAAATTACTAATAACACCCAATATACGATTATATAAGGACTTCATCACAGTTTTATAAGTTTGAAAATTTAAGAAAATGGTCACTAACCACCTTTAAATCGTTATAGATCCTAAATGGTCAAAATGAAAAATAACTAGAGAGACCTAAACATGATTTTCAAAAACCTATTCAATGATACACAACTTGACATAGTTAGTCGACTTTAATTTTTTTCTTTGTCACAGTATGGCGTCTGGTTGTCGCCATATTGAATTTTGATTACAGTCATGTCTTTAATGACAATCGCAAGATTATAGGATAAATTGATTGACGTAAGAATAATTAAAATCATCCACGCGTTTGCTCATACATACATAAATAGGCTGATAAACAGATCATCCAGCAGTCGGGTAAAAATGGATATATCTCACCTTATCACTCTCGAGCCGGTGCTTGAGCTTCTTGTGTAGCTCTATCCCTTTCTCGCTTACAAATGAGTACCCGCACAACTCGCACACGAAGTCCGACGGGTGCTTTATGCGGATGTGGCCCATGTACGTTGTGAATTTACTGGAAAAAATTGTCCAATTGTGTGTTAGAACGGACACCCGTAACGTCAGGTTCCGTAGTTTAGATTACTTTGTTTTTGAAAAACAAAAAGCATTTAAGCACTTCGATTAAACTCAAAATGTTTTACCAACCAATAGGGTAATGTTGTTATTAGAATCTAACTCCCCATTTACACTCTCGAGCGGCCTTTACCACTCGCGGCGCTCGCGTCTGAGGCGGTTTTTTGGGCACCAGCCCACGAGGCAAAGGGCATCGCGAGGGACGCGAACGTGCTGTTTACACTCGCGTCTCGTTTCAGTTTGTTTACGGCGCCCTTCCATAATAACTTTCGAATTGCTTTTGTTTTAAAATTACAATTTTAAAACAAAAGCAATTCGAAAGTTATTATGGAATAATATTATTTCATTTTGCACAGTAGGTACTAGCAATTTATATAAAATTATGAAACCGAAAAGGTTCTGTTTCGATGAAAATATATCATCCACCATATTCTTCCTTTTTTTAATTTTCTTCTTTTTAAAATGGTCAAGCATCGATAAATACTTATTAAGGCAAGAGTTGATGCCGCTATTATTTCGACGTCTTTCATCGTTGCTGGCTCAACGCAAACTGACTGCATCGCGAGTGTATACAGGCACGTTACCTCGCAACAACACGCGAGCTGCGAGGCGAGGTACGAGGCGAGGCGCGAGGCGAGAGTCTAAACGCGGTATAAGATTTTGTTTTAACCGACTTCATAGAGGAGGTACTCAATTTTACTGTACGTTTTTTTTTATGTGTTACCTCAGAACTTTATTCTAGGTGAACCGATTTTGATGATTCTTTTTTTATTTGAAAGCTGGTACTTCTCATGTATTCCCATATAAATTTGATCAAGGTGTGACCAATAGTTTTTGAGTTATCCTTAATAATTTATATTGAAGTCGGTTGTACAAAATTTTTAATTTTACCACTTGTTTTCAAAACTAAACTAAACTAGCTTATTGCTAAAAGTGGTTTATACTAAATTATTTTAAAATACTTTGAACGATCATATTTATCTAAAATCATTAAAATATATAAAAACAATTAAATATTACTTAAAATCAAACATTATCAAAGAAAAACATTTATTAAAACGTAAAATACTCACACGAACTCGTCCTGACAATGCGGGCATTGGTACTTGGTGCCTTTGTGCCATCTCTCGTGCAGCCTCGCCGTCTGCCTGAACAAAGAGTAAACATTAATACAAACAAATCTAGATAGTCCTTTCTGCCTATGGATTCGTCCGGCCTGAAATGCTGTGTACCAATCTAAATGGTATATTCCATCTTAGTGAGATAGATAAAAGGTTAAAAAATCTTCCACAAACAAAAATCTTTATAAGTAAATATATTGATATTATAGTAAAATTTATAACAACTGTTCACGCCCAAACGCTGGTTTCGGGATTTGACGCCGGAGGGCGCTGGGTTTTGACGTTCGGGCGAGCGGTGTGGCTGTGGTGAGAGGGCGCGAGCGCAAAAGTCAGTTGCTTGATCGCATTGCGGTCGATCGCACGTCGGGAAGTCGCTCGGGATAACCTCCATTTTTTAGAGTCGGTTTTGTTAGCAAATGGTGCAACGACGAGGAATTGTAGTCTAGAATTAGACGCCGGGTTGACAGATTGTTAGGAAGTTAACATTGATTGCGATCAAGGTCTGAATTGTGTGCTGTGCGTGCTAATTTACCGCGAATTTTGTTATTCTAATTTGATAGCGTATAAAGTGCATTTGACAACAGTAATTTGCTCGTGCCTGCATTTGATATAGTTCGGAAACATTTTCGGTTGTCGGTTGAACGCTGAACTTCGTGACACTAGAGAAGGTCGTGTTAGGTTCTAGAAATAATTGTTGCCAAGCGAAACGGAAGTGACCTTTGATCCGAACATTCGGTATTCGTGTTGTGTGTTACGCCTTAAAATAAACGGGAGTTAGTTGCGTCTTGAAGTTAGTTAATTGTACGGTAAAGTTAATAGACTGACATAGTGAAGAAGAAAGAAATTGACCGTGGGTGACGCCGCTGAAGATTACCATAATTTGGAGCGGTGCCGCAGTCCGGGTAGCTGCCAACCTCAACGGTCCAGTCAGGTCAATCACATCCACACCAAAAAAACCATCACCATACACGCAACACATACACACCTCCTGCCTGACCGAACCTTGAGGCAGTCGTCGCCTCAGATACAGGTAAGTACTCTCCATTTGACTAGCCTCCCCATTAAATTTTAGTAGGATAGAACATTTTCCATATAGCCATTCGGGCTCGAACCTGCGGCTGCTCGTTGAATCTTCCGCTCATGGGCCCCGGAATATTCGACATTTGCAGGGGCAGCTGTAGGCCGTAACAACAATCGTGTAGAATAGATTTTATACAAGGGTGACAAATGAACGAAGTAACCTGATGGTAAGTGGATTTTTTTTATAGTATAAGGGTGACAAACGAGCCTACATTTATCCTCGATTAAGAATCAAAACGAAGATGCGTTGTCACCCTTGAGGACGACGAGGAGGAGGAGCATGGAAACGTCGGGAAATATATAATAAGTTAATATACACGATAAAATCCGTAAGAACTAGTTTTATTTAAATGATGGATAATGTCCCAAAAACTCTCACCGATGTGTGGTCACATAGGGGCACTGGTTGCAGCTGAACCGTTGGGTGTGGTGCGCAGTGATGTGTTTTCTTAACGCGTGGGGATGCTTGAAATGCGTTTTGCATATCTCGCACTCGTATTCTCCACATTGCTGAAACAATAAATGATATTAAACTTTTCACACTATGTGTAAACCAATAGGCAAAACATGCTGATACATAAAGTTTTGTAAAATCTATTTCATACCATGTTTTCTGCAAGTAAAATATTATTATAAACATACCAATAGTTGTTTAAAAATACAATAGTTTAGTACCTTACAAGCACAAGCTAGTTATACCAATTTATCGATTCAAAAAACTTTGTAACTCCTTCATGGGGGCAAATATAATAAAAGAATAACACTTTGAAAGCTTAAAATTTTTGTTAACCAAATTTTTTTAAATAATTTAATGAGTATATGATTGATAATAACCCCGGGGAATGACGTGATCGCTATCATGCTGTTTCTAAAAGTTTTCATATTTAATTGTACAATATATTATATTGTAAATTATTGTTAAAAGAAAAACAGTTCCACTGGTTTCTCCCAGGACAGAGGTATTTTTTCCGAAACGGTGGTCGAAGCATAAATGACTTTCAATAAGTATTACAGTAATATATATTGAATAAAAACTATTCTATTTTATTCTCAAATACAACCTATATTATGGCCTTTAACAAACCATGTGGCCTATAAAAAAACACTCCTAGGAACTATCAAATGCACAGGAGATAATGTACAGCCACCATCATTGATCTTCATATATATAAGGGCATCTCACACCGTACTGGGAATTCGAAACAGCAAAATGCAAGGATATATGCCATCACAAATATATTAACGAAAATATGAATGGATATATATTATGATATATATCACTATATACATAATGGTAATGGATTATTTCACAAAATTACGATACAAATTGAAATACATTTAGTAAAAGTAAAAATGAACTATTTTGTACACGTAATGTAAAAAAAACTGTGTCCCTAGATGTCTCTATAAGAAAATTAATTGAAATATGTTAAAATTAATACCTATAGATACTCCCTCAATTGCGTGCACTATCCCAACCAATCGCTAATACTTAACGGTCAGCCATCGCAGAGTTTATTTCTCCTGACGATGCCTTGTTTAGAGGCGAAAGACGTGTCGTATTATCTTTTTTAGTGTAGTGATTTGCACGCGATTAAGGGGGGGTGGGGGGGGGGGGTGCTCTTAAATCTACGTAAGACACATCACGCTGATCTTAGCTAATACGTTTTTAACATATTTAATACAATGGATTTCTCCAAAGTTTCCCCTGATTCTATTAATTAACTGTGAGAAATTTTTGGAACAAAGTTCCTTATCGCATGGTACAAATTTGGCGGATGGGGGCTAGGCGAGAAAAAGTGAAATATTTTTCCGTCACGACCCTTTCTATAGTGTACGAGGGCGGCACTGAAAATTTCGGGAATCAAGGAAGTGACACAACATTACTATTTAAAAATGTATTTATTGCTTTTCGAAGTATTCTCCGCGACATTTGACACATTTTTCCATACGATGGAACCAATCATTGAGGCAACCATTCCATTCGGAAATTGGGGTCTCCAAAATGGCCGTTTTGTAGGCGTCCACAGCTTATTCAGGTGATGAAAATCTCTGTCCACGCAATTAAAAAACGAAACACGAAAGTATAGAAATCATTAGGGCTTAGGTCGGGGCTGTACGGCGGATGGTCCAATAATTCTATATTTTCTTGCTCTAAAAACTCTTTTGTTCTGTGTGCAGTGTGAGAACTCGCATTGTCGTTGATGGAGGATGATGCGGCGGTTGCAGTTCTCTTTACGGAGTTCAGAAACGATCTGTGGCAAACAAATTCTAGCATACCATACTGTATTAACCGTTCTTTGTCCCTCAAGAGGAATAGTCGTAACATGGCCGGTTTTGGAGACAAACGTGGCCACCATTTTTTTTGCAACACTCCGTGAACGAACAATTTTTGTTGGCTTTAACTCATTTTCGAACACCCAAACTCGTGACTGGTTTTTTGTTTCGGGTTCGTACGCATATATCCAGGATTCGTCACCTGATACGATGTTGTATACAGCATTTGAGGATCCTGCGTGGAATCTTTCGAGAGTTCTGACGCACCAAGTAACGCGAGCCGCTTTTTGCTCTTCACAGAGCGAATGCGGTATCCATCGGGAAAACAACTTTTTTACACCTAATTGTTCATGCAAGATTATTTGTATTTGGCTCATGCCAATGTCTAAAGTTGCCTGTATTTCGCGGTATGTCACATGTCGATCTTCCTCAATCAGCTTACGCACAGCATCAACGTTTTCTTGGGTGACTGCAGTTTTTGGACGACCTTGACGGGGATCAACACTGAGCTTGACACGTCCACGTTGAAATTCAGCAAACCAGCGATAAATTGTGGTTTTGGATGGGGCTTCATCACCAAATGCAGAAATCATCCGATCAACACACCTTTTTTTGTGTTAAACCACTTCGAAAGTCATAATAAATCGTCGCTCTTGAATTTTCTCGAATCAATTCCATTTTCTCAACGACTAAACAAGTTTGACAAAACCTTGTGGCAAGACCGAGAATATTTTTTTAAATAAATAAATGGTATTCGATTTTTAAAACCAAGGACTTTTCAATTAAAAAGATTTTAATATGACAGGAACAGTGGAAATATTCCATTCCCGATACTTTTAGTGCAGCCTATGTAGACGGCCTTGGGAGCTATAAGGAAGCGAGAAGGAATAATATCCATTTCCCTCACACTTTCTCTTATCCTTGCCATGAAAGAAATATTATTTTAAATGACGCTTCATTTTAATAGATACTAGTAATTCATTTATTCATATTTGTTAATCAATAATATGATACGTTTATCAATAATAACATACTACGAAAGGAACTTCGTTCCAACCGAGTGTTCCATGACACTCACGCATTCCCTCCCAATCAACTATTAGGCTGAGCAGAGATAAACATATGAGAGGGTAGTGCAGCAAAAATAAACTAATAATGAGAAAGAAAGGTAACGAAGTTCGAATAAACCAGAATGCATGCAGAAAATAGATTTCGGTAGAGTAAAGAATGAAATAAGTAAAAACCAACTCACGTCAGTATGCCGAGTCATGTGGCCATTGTAAGCGTCTTCATCCAAGAAACCCTTGAAGCAGGCACTGCACTTGAAGACTGAATTCTTGTAATTGGAGGACTCCTGCCTCTTCAGGATCTCCGCCACTTGCTCTTCGTGGGACAGATCCGTTATTGTGAAAAGTGTTTCGTTGAGATCATCGTTAAGAAATGGTTTTCTTCTTCTGTCGATCTTCGGTTCCGTTGGGTCCTTAGCCTGTTTCTTCCTCACTTTCTTCACCCTTTCCTTCTTCGTTTTCTTCTTCTTCGTTCTTCTCTTCTCTAGAGGTATACTATCGTCTGTGGAATAATCTCTGTCGATATCATCATGAACGACTTCTTCTTTAATATCTTCAGCTATTCGATCTGTTTCATTAAGATATATTTCATCATTTGTCTCATTTTTTATTTCTGCATCTAACGTGACTTCTTGTATCTGCGGGAGTTCTTCCTTCTGTTCTGTGTCTGTTTGTGTGTCCGTTTCTTCCATGTGCTCTATGTAGAGATCACAGTGGTCTGGATCGAAGCTCTTTATACTTAGGTTCGAAGCGAGGAAATTATTTTCTCTATTTATTGTTTGGATGCTTTGATAAGTTATCTGTAAAAAACAAATTACTTTAAATATATAATTATTCTGTATCTGTGTTTGTCACTGAACTACTCCTAAAACCTAAAACAGTGATTTTAATGAAGCTGTTTGTATGTGTTTGAGTAGATACCTGGTTGATATTCACAATTGGACTCGGTAGGTGGCACTTTTGTCACCCGTGCGTAACCGAGGCGGAACGCTAGTTTATATATGTTTATTATATATAAAAATAGCCAGAAATAACGAAGGTTTTTCTTTAATATCGAAAGCGTTTACCAACTCAGCAATCACAACAGTGACCGAATTACAGCTGGATCCCATTCTATTTTCACCTTCGATATTGCATTAAGGGGGAATCAGCATACCGTGTAGTTGCGGTGTAAGAATATCCACTACCCCATATCATCCCCTGGGTGTCGTAATAGGCGATGGAGGGAAACAAATCAGGAAATAAGCAGCAGCGTCTTCCTAATAACGACTAAAATAAAAAAATGCGGTTGCCAACGTGCTTGCCAAGCCTGGCAACTATGGCATATATCCCTCCCTATGAGGCAATCTACGGGGGAGGCTTATGTTCAGCAGTGAACTTTAATAGACAGTAACAATGGAGAATTACCTGTATTATCTATTCTGTATGTGTAGTACTACTACTGTATACTGTATGCTGTATGTACTGTATGCTACTTAGGGACCAGAAAAACCTCAAGGCCGCTGATAATCGGTAATGGTTACCTACTAAGTAATCGCTGATGGCGGTACAACCATCTAGTATTTCAATCATTAATTAATTACAGCGTATCGAAGTCCACTGCCGAACATAGTTCATGATACATACTTCATTGTATAAAATATTATATAATCAATTAACGTTTTAAAAAATCCCACTGAGTTTCTTGCTGGTTTTTTCCAGGACAGAGGTTTTTCTCCGAACCTTACCAGTGGTAAAGCTTAAATGTCTTCTAATAAGTATTCTTGTAATTGATATTAAATAAAAATTATTCTATTCTAAACAACCACGAGATGATATGTGGTAGTGGATTATTTTACCCCGCCATTACGCGGTATAGTCACTATCTCTTCTCATCTCATGATAAGGTTCTACGTTCTTCTTCCAACTACAAAATACGTATCCCTGTTCACTTCACTGAGTTCTATGGTAACCCCTTTACAGTTTAGGCTACACGTCGTTGGAACTCCTTGCCCAATGACATCAGAAAATATTATATATAAGTAAAACTAAAATTTATATATTACGTAGTTAATTATCATTTTTATTTTATTTATGTTCTATATTGCTACACCTACGTCAAATTCTCACCACTCCATGGGTCGACTGGTAGAGAATGCCTCGAGGCATTAAGTCCGCCCTTTGTATTCTTTTGTTTTAAGAAATGCAATAAAGATTAAATAAATAAAAATAGTATTTTCACCAGAAGTATAACAGTACAACCGCAGACGAGTAACAGCATGCTCATGTCAGGTACTGTAATCCTAAATCCACCTTCGTTTCGTACATGGTAGAACCATGCTGCAGTTATATTAGTAGTATAGTTGTAGCACGAAAGGGTCCACGCTCTCACAGAATACCAGCGTAAAATAGCAGCTTAACACTGCTGTGTTTCGGAAGGTGAGTGTAGAGAACCGGAGCCCCTTTTTACTGGAAAAGAGGCGTTCCATCTTAGTCCTCACGGGTGACAACACATCTGCATTTTGAGATAGATGTAGATGCCTATGGGTCACAACAACCACTTACCATCAGGTGAAATGTGTGCTCGTTTGTCACCCTATTATTAAAAATTTCTTTATTATTTTAAAATTAAAAATTTCCATGCTCATAAATCGACGCTCTCACAAAATACCAGCGTGAAATAGCATCATGACACTGCTGTTTTGTATGGTGAGTGTGGAGAACCGGAGACCCTTTTCACTGGTAGCAAGGCATCCCATCTTAGTCATTAAGGGTGACAATGCATCTTCATTTTGATTTTTTTATCGAGTATAAGCAAAGATGTCTATGGGTCACAGCATCCGCTAACCATCTAGTAGACTATATACTTGTTTGGTACCCTTATTCAACAAACAAATCCTTTCCTAGAACGAGAGGGGCCGTGTCCATCAGTAGAATAGAATATAATTTTTTTATTCAATATAAATTACTTTCATGTAATTCTTATTGTAAGTAATTTTAACCCCCGATGAAAACAGAAGGGTATTATATGTTTGTAGTGTGTATCTATGTACCTGTGTCTGTCTGTGGCATCACAGCTTCTGAATGGATGAACCTCCGTGGTGCAGTGGCTTAGCAATGAGTTGCTGCGCTGGAGGGCGGGGGTTCGAATCCCGCGCGGAACAAGTATTTGTATGGCCTACAAATAATTGTTCCGTGTCTGGATGTTTGTTATTGTGCAATATGGGAGTATGAAACTTTTTAATGTTAGTTATTTAGTTATAACACTTTTACCTCACCTGTGTACTGTTCTAGGCTTATGAAGGATTTTATAAGATAATGACACTTGCCCTGTTGGCCTGTTAAAGAGAAATCACACATGATTAAAAATTAAAACAATAATTACATACCATATCCTGCTTCCCTATGATTTCCATCATAAGGGCGTGCGCCCTTAAGCTCTTGTTCCTGAAGCGGTAGCACGTCATCAGTCTCTGTGCGCATTCTGCACACAGCTTCTGCGGTAGACTGTCGTCTTCGCAAAACTGTAAGATGATCAATTGACTATTCAATTTTTTTTTGATTGTATAAGGGTGACAAACGAGCACACAGTCCACGTGATGATAAGTGGTTACTGTGGCCCATAGACATCTATATCTATCTTCGATTACAAATCAAAATGCAGATGCGTTGTCACCCGTGAAGACTAAGATGGAATGTCTCGTTTCCAGTAATAAGGGTCTCCGATTCTGTACACTCACCATACGAAACACAACAACATTAAGCTGTTATTTTAAGTTGGTATTCTGTGAGAATGTGGTCCTTCCCCTATCCCTCCCCCCCCCCATTCGTGCTACAACTATAATATAGCTGCAGCATGGCTCTACCACTTTAAGAATTATTAAAAATTATGAGATAGCAAAACTTATAAACAGTGGCAACTTGGGTACTAATTTTTCACAGCATGCGAGTAAAGCGTTCACTCACGCTCCCTTCGCGGTTGCGTTCTGCAGGCTGCCGCCGTGTTTGGCATTAAAGGTCGGCGGATTGGGACGGAATGCGGTCTTTCTTTTCATCCTACCCATGGGCGGGTTTGCTTCACGCCGGATGATCCTAGCGCTGTTGCTGACTCTGTCACTGATGTGGTGCTACTGGGTATGGAACTATTTATTCCATCATCTGTGGTACCCATCGGAGGCTGATGTCAGCAGAATTAGTTCGCCTTCCTTCGGGTACCCGTGCATTCTGGTCTCTCGCAGAGGCTGTCCAAGATATTCTGTAAGCCATCACTACCATCTCTGCACAGGGAAGACGACTCACTGGCCCACGCTGCTAAAGAGAAAGCCGAACTTTTAGGCTCCCTTTTTGCGTCCAACTCGACTCTCGATGACTGGGGGAACACACCGCCGATCATCCCGCAGTGGGAGTGCTCTATGCCTGATGTGTGATTCACACAGTGCTCAGTTCCCAAAGCACTCCTTTCCCTCGACATCCACAAGTCGAGTGGGCCTGACGGAATCCCCCCAATTGTGCTGAGGACGTGCGCTCCTGAGATGCCACCGGTTCTAACGCGTCTTTTTCGGTACTCCTATACTCCCTAAGCGTTGTCACGAATTCATGGAAGACGGGTTTAGTGCACCCGATCCCTAAAAAAGGTAACCGCTCTGAGCTGTCCAACTACAGGCCTATCGCCATCACCTCCTTGTTCTCCAAAATAATGGAGTCCATTATTAACTGCAAGCACATGCGGTACCTTAAGGAGCACCAGCTGATTAGTGACTGCCAGTACGGTTTCCGTCGGGATCGCTCAGCTGGTGATCTTCCTGTTTACCTAATACAAAGATGGTCGCAGGCGATCGAGTCCAAGGCGGAGGCGGTTTTTTTTGGCGGTTAGTTTGGACATAGCGAAGACTTTCGATCAGGTTTGGCACAAAGCGCTTCTTTCGAAGCTTCCTTCCTATGGACTTCCCGAGAAATTGTGCAATTGAATCACCAGTTTCTGGCTGATCGGAGCATCAAGGTGGTAGTAGACATTAACAAATAACATTAACATTTTCTTTAACGAATCCTTTAATACGATTCTAGTTCGTACGACTTAGGGACATTCAAGAAAAGAGCCTATTCTTTTTTAAAAGGCCGGCAACACATCTGCAATTCCCCTGGTTCCTCTGGTGTTGCAGTTGTTCACGGGCGACGGTAGTCACTTACCATCAGGTGTGCCGCATGCTCGTTTGCCCCTTGTCATATGAAAAAGCGGGTTTTCATTTCATTCATATTATGTCTTACTAATAGTCAAATTGGCGAGTATATTTACCTGGGACAAATAGTCCGACTAGGTAAGTCCAACTTCGACCAAGAGGTCATTCTTCGACAACGAGATTAAACACGGCTGGCTAGGGTTCGGGAGATTACGACACTCTTCTCGTCAAAACTTGAAAACGAGATTGTACAACCAGTGCGTGTTGCCAGTGATGACTTATGAATCTGATACGTGGTCCTTCACTGCTGGCCGTATGAGGAAGCTCAAGGTGGCACCGCGAGCTATGGAGAGAGATATGCTCGGGGTATCTCTGCGCGATAGACTTAAAAACGAGGACATCCGCAGTAGAAGCGTTCCATCGTAGTCCTGAGGGGTGACAACGCATCTACATTTTTATTTTTAATCGAAGATAAATGTATATATCTATGGGTCACAGCTCCACTTACCATCAGGTGGACTGTGTGCTCGTTTGTCAAAAAAAATACCTTCTATCTATATTCTGCAATGATTAAAAATTCGTTATAAACAGGTTTTTGATAAATGTATTCGTAATGTAGAGGTACCTGTATTTTGCGTTAGTTCTTACGCGCAGTTCTATGGAATTTGAAAAAATTCGTTAAACCGACGAATTTTTTATATTGAGACTGGTTAAATCAAGGTTACACAGTAAATATAACTAAAGTAAGCTTACCGTTAAACCTGTTAAATGCTCGAACGCGCGCTCCAGTTTGTATTTCCGAATGGGGAACAGCTTCCGGTCCATGACCAGACAGATTCTGCACACCTGGAATGCGAAAAAGTTGGTATTAAAGCAGCGCCTAACTGCTATAGCTCAGTAGTCTCATAAAGTGACATATGGGGAAGAAACGTTCTCGAGTGGCAGCCTCGTCCCAGTATGCAAAGATGGAGGCCCCAATAATTTGGAGTGACGATCTGGTAAGACGTGCAGGAAATTGATGTATGCAGGTTTTCTCTGGACGGTGCTTTGGGGCATTCCTTGTTCAGCAGTGGACTTGTGAAGAGCTGTAATGATGATGATGATGATGGTGAAGCTTTATTACTAAGTGATTTATGGAACCTAATTATTCGTCCTTAGGTCTATGTTTACTTGATTGTAATGGATGGATACTCTCTATCACGGGGAGTGCTCTGAGGAATTGTTCGGATTAATTCCAGCCGCCAAATTTCACGAACGCACATCGCGTCAAAATTCACGATACCATCCTCATCATCTGGATGCTTGACGGTTCACCACTGTACGTTTTACTAGGAGTTTTCTTCCTCGTACGGCCTCTCTGTGGAATAGTTTGCCACCGGCGATTTTTCCGGACCGATACGACTTAGGGACCTTCAAGAAAAGACCTTACTCCTTTCTAAAAGGCCGGCAAAACACCTGCGATTCCCCTGGTATTGCGGTTGTTCATGGCCAGCGGTAGTCATTTACCATCAGGTGAGCCGCATGCTCGTTCGCCCCCTCTCCTATAAAAAAAGATGATTATGTATAGTTAAAACTTTTAAAGATGCCTCGATTTATTTCATCACTGTCCTATAAAACTAAGTTACAATCTTAGGTACCATGCTTTACAATATGGGGCAACGGAGCTATCTTCCGCTTGTTGTTAAAACGATAATGGAGTTATTCAAAAGACCACAAATAATTGTAACTTTCAACAAAAAGTAAAACCCGACTTCAAATTGCAAAAACAGAACTTATTTATTTGCCATAAGTTTTTCTCGAAATATATATGGGACCACCCTCGAATCATCAAAATTGGTTCACAGTCTACAAAGATATCTCGTAACATACTAACAAAAAAACATACACTCGAACTGAGAACGTCCTCCTTTTTGAAGTCGATTAAACAAGCTTTATAAATGTGTCTTAACACTATAAATGTGTGTTTCTTATGGTGAATCTAGAGAACCGGGGACCCGTCGATACGAGGCATTCCATTTTAGTCTTCACAGGTGACAAAGTATCTGCAATTTGATTCTTAATCGAGGATAAATGTAGTTGTCTATCGGCCACAGTATCCACTTACCATCAGAACGACTTATTTTATAAAAAATAGGTATATATAAACATAAATAGTTATCATAAACATACAAAATTACCTTTAAACTTGTTAGGTCTGGTCCATAGTTATCCTGGAAATTAAAAATTTACACATGTAATTAGTTAGAAAGTAGAATTTTAATTTATATATGAATAAAAGAATAAAAAGATTTTTATTCATATATATATACGTTGTAGATCCATGCTACAGTTATATTATGGTTTTAGCACGAATGGGTCAGCTTGACCGGAGAAGGACCATGCTCTTACAGAATACCAGTGTAAAATAACAGCTCAATGCTGTTGTGTTTCGTATGGTGAGGGTAGAGAACCGGAGCCCCTTTTTACTGGAAACTAGGCATTCCATCTTAGTCCTCAAGGGTGGCAATACATCTGCATTTTGATTCTTAATTGAGGATGAATGGAAATGTCTATGGGCCACAGCATCGACTGACCATCAGGTGGACTGTGTGCTCGTTTGTCACCCTTATCCTATAAAAAAATTTCAAATTTGCAGTGCCTGAAAAGGGTGTCTAAGTTGTAAGCACATTTTTAATTTAAGACCAATTATGTACACTTGGATTGCAAATAAATGATTTGATTTTATTTGAAACTAACTCACCAGTAACATTAAAGGCACTGCACCAGTCCTAACCTTCCTCAACCCGTTTTTAGTTTCATACAAATCATCACACAGGAAATGCTGAGAGCAAACTGCACTTCTGTCTTTAGGCTCCCACGATTCTTTGCCAAGTGCTTTCAACCAAGATGAGCGTAGTGACTGATCTGCAGGGAACCTGTAATATAGAACCACTATTTAAATTACAACACTATATTTTTTTTTAATATGGAATAAGTATTTTTTTAACAAACAAGCACACAGTCCACCTGATGGTAAGTGAACACTGTGGCCTATTGATATCTACATCTATTCTCTAAAATGCCTCTTTCCCAGTAAAAAGGGTATCCGGTTTTCTACATTCACCATATGAAACACGGCAGCATTGAGTTGCTGTTTTATACTGGTAATCTATGAGACTGTGGTTGTTCCTTAGTGGAGCAGACCCATTAGTGCTACTACCGTAATATAGCTGCAGCATATCTCTACGACGTAAAAACAACAAGGAGAAAAGTGAGCACACAGTCCACCTGATGGTAAGATGGAATGCCTTACAGCTTGTAGTTACACCAGCTCTCTATACTCTTCAGATCGGAACACAGCAGTACAGCACTCCTACTTGGCGGCAGAAATATGTAAGCAGTTGGTATCAACCCAGATGGACTTCTAAGCAGAAGGACTCTAGCAATAAATAACAAATAATTTAAAATTTTGTACAACCAACTTCAATATAAATTATTAAGAATAACTCAAAAACTATGGATCAGATCAAGATCAATCAATTTACATGGGACCACATGAAAACACCAGCTTTCAAATAAAGAATCATTGAAATCGGTTCACCCAGAAAAAAATTATGAGGTAACCCACGTATAAAAAATAAAAAAAAACATACAAAAAAATTGAGTAGTCTTCTTTTTGAAGTAGGTAGAAAAAGATTGGATAGATGGATATAAATTATTTGTTTTGACCATTTAGAAATCAGTTTTCAAGGAATAATAAGAGCTTTACATAGTTGTATTACAAAAAGTAACTTACACGTGAAATGTGATCCCCTGGGACTTTGATATATGCCTGGAATCGTTCTTGCAATTAGGAACACAACAACGCATTTTTTTATTGTATTTTGCTAAACAAATTTACAAATGTGATATAATATTTCCTTGCAATACAGTACAACACTTAAGTAGGACGTTATAATAAATTTTCGGTTATCATCTCTGAATTTTATTACACTTTTTAGTTATAAAATTATTAAAGTTATTGTTTAGAAAATCCTAAAATGGGCTCTTCGTTTATTTATTCCTACAAATTATTTCTGATATATCGTGTATTATCTATGAATTATTCTGTTCTGTCAAAAAGTACTCTGTGGTTCTGTAAAAGCTTTAGTGAGACTGAGTTTTGGCGGGAACTTGACCGGCGGCGGTTTGCTGCTCCTGTATTATTGTTTGAATAATGGTTTGAAGTGGACTTTGATATATAAAAGTGGTGCGATTTTGTGTATTAAGTGTCTGCGCATGTGAACTATTAGTGGAAACTGTGAAATAAGTGCTCTGATCGTGATGTGTTTCTCAAAATAAGGTGTCTGTCTGCTTAGCCAGACTTAAGTTTTGGCGGGAACTTGACCGGCGGCTGTCTGCTCCTATATTTATTGTTTAAATAATGGTTTGAAGTGGACATTATGCTTTATGCATGTAAACTATTAGTGTAAACAGTGAAACAAGTGCTCTGATGGTGATTTGATTGTGTCTGTGTGTTTGAAGGTGTCTGCTTAGGCGCCTTGAGTTACCATTGCCAACTGTCAGCTGTCTGCTGGCTCAAGTTGCCGTCAAAATCTCCCAAGGGCTGCACAATGTAACGCATCAACATATTGTGAAGCAGTGTACTATACTTATCTTCACGCACAATCCCTGACGGGGTAGCCAGAGAGAACAGATCGCCAAGTGTAACGATCCTTACATACCTCTTTCTCTAAGAGAGAAGTGTACTATGAAGGATAATTATAAATTGTAACTTCAGGCTCAGAAGGGTTAGAAACCGGAGCCTTATGCCAGTTATTTAAAAAAAATTAGGCAGGCTGGTGCAACCATAGACTCAGAATATACCGACGTACGTGGTACGTCGTACGCCAGTATATTCCAAGTTTAAATATGTATAATGCGTCTATTTACTATTGTCCAAATTTTTCGATGGGATTTAAATCGCAGTCGTAAGGCGGCAAACGGAGAACCTCATATCCATGTTCATTTAACATTTGTTCTGTTTCATACTGTGGTTCTCCTTTGTATTTTTAATTAATTCGTATAATTGCGCTTTTGTCCAACAATCTTCAAATGTAATACCATTTCTCGTAAGCCCTCCTTGGAGTTCTGCTTTTGTATTGCCAATTGTAGGTGCCTTGTTGATCTGTGTGTCGTTTTTATCCATCACTACAATGCAATTCGTTGGAAGATTTGGCACAATTTTTTCTTTCATCCACCGCATGAATTTAGCAGAATTCATATGCAATTTAAATTTGGAGTTAGACCTGAACAGCAGCAGTCCGTTTTCAACAAATCCAGTTTTACCTCCACCATGGGCTATTATCCATCTTGCACCGATGCCATCAGAAGCAAGAATACCAGGCTGTTCCTATGATTGCCAACATTTTTGAAGGTGGTATGTAGCATGTATATACGTTTCGTCAACATAAATGACCGGTCGATTTTCTTCCTGACGATTCTTGCACAACCTCGGAATATATTTTGCTCTCCAAGCTGCAATATCAATGAGTTCTACCAATACTTTTCGTTTAGACTGGCACCTTTTTTTTGTAGCCCATAGTCTTTAAAATACTCCTTAATGATGTTCTGCCATATTTAAAACCAATATCAGCTTTCAATTCCAACCAAAGTTTATTTATGGTAGGAATCTCCTTCTTCACGACGTAAGACGATTGAATTAAATTCCTTACAGCCACTCAACCTTCCGCCCCGCGCGAGTAATTCTCGCCTGATTTTTTTAGAATTCAAAATTTAATTTTATTAAAAGAAAATTCGTCAAATTAAAAATAAAGCTTAGGCTTAATCGTGTACCGCCATCTTACTGTTCTTGGCAGGTGTCAAAACTAAGCATTAGGTGACGTGTTTTTATTCGTTTTTGCAGTAAATAATCGTTATCATTATGCCGAAAGTGATTAAAAGTGCTTGCAGGGATATTATCTTGAAGGTCAAACGTGTACCATTACAGTAACAGTATTGTTTCCCAAAGTCAAAGCCCGCGTTGCATGCGTTATTTGATAGGAATTTTTAGGGCTGCCATAGAATAGAATAGAATAGAATATTTTTTATTCAATATACATTACATGTGTAATTCTTATTGAGTCATTTTTTACTTTACCACTGGTTCGAAAAAAACCCTCTGTCCTGGGAAGAACCAGCAAGAAACCCAGCGGGACTTTTTTTTAAAATAAATTTTACAATATAAATGATTACGAACTATTTACAAAATTTATTTTAGAAACTGCTTGGAAGCGATCACCTCATTCCCAGGGGTTATTATCAACCATGTATTCATTTATACTATAATAACCCTTTTTATACAGTTTCAGCTTAATAAAACATTTAAACTTGGTAATAGACAGAACCTGTACACTTTCCGGGACCTTGTTGTAATAGCGTATACATTGCCCCAAGAATGAATTACTGACTCTGTGGAGTCGAGAAACTGGTATCACTAGCTTGTGTTTGTTCCTAGTGTTTACAGAATGTATATCACTTCTTTTACTAAAACTATCTTTGTTTTTGTGAACATACATTAAATTTTCGTAAATATACTGAGAGGCCAAAGTTAATATATTAATTTCTTTAAATTTATCTCTAAGAGACTCTCTCGGTTTTAGATTGTAAATAGCTCTAATGGCCCTCTTCTGTAAAACAAAAATAGTTTCTGAATCAGCCGCATTTCCGCATAGCAAAATCCCATAAGACATTATGCTATGAAAATAACTAAAATAAACTAATCTAGCTGTCTCGACACTAGTGAGACCTCTAATCTTTTTTACAGCATAGGCTGCAGAACTTAGTCTGCTTGCTAATTTGGATATATGGGGGCCCCACTGGAGCTTTGCGTCAAGAGTGATGCCAAGAAAAACAGTGGATACAACAGGGCTCAATTCCTCCCCATTTAAAAACACATTGGTATTCAGATTTTGAACATTCGTTGTTGTAAATTTAATACAATTAGTTTTATTTCCGTTCAAATGCAGATTATTAACGTTAAACCAATGCATTAATTTTGATATAGCATTATTCACTTCGTCACATTTAAATGATTGACGTTTAAGTTTAAAAATCAAGGAAGTATCATCAGCAAATAATACTATATCATGACTATCCCCTACAAGGTGAGGTAAGTCATTAATATACACCAGAAACAGGAATAGGCCGAGAATCGAGCCCTGAGGTACACCCATTAGTACAGGTGACCTGGAAGAACATTTACCATTGATAATAACCTTCTGTTTTCTATTACTTAAATATGAAATAATAAGTTTAAGCGCTGTGTTCTTGACACCATAGTACTGTAGCTTCCTGATTAATGTCTCATGGTGAACACAGTCGAAGGCCTTGAAAAGGTCACAAAATATACCCAAAGCATCCTCTGAATTCTCCCATGCACAAAAAATATGTTTAATAAGCTCAACTCCAGCGTCAGTTGTCGAGCGACCCCTTGTAAAACCGAATTGATTATTATGTAGCAATTTATTAATATTAAAGAAACTTAACATCTGATCTAAAATAATTTTTTCAAAAATTTTACTTAATGTTGGTAGTACAGAAATTGGTCTAAAATTGGCGGGGTCTAATGTACTACCAGATTTAAATATAGGTATGACTTTACTATGTTTCATTAAATCAGGAAACACACCAGATTCGACGCTTATATTAAATATAGTGGCTAGATAAGGTGCTAATGTATCTATTATAGATAAAATAACTTTAACGGAAATCCCCCATAAGTCTGCCGTTTTCTTAACATCAATAGTTTTAAAATATTTAACGATATCTTTTGGCAGTACCCTATGGAATTTAAAAGTATTTGAACAAGCCTTTACATTCTGTTTGAGCAATGATTCGGCGACAGTAGGAGAAGAATTTAATGATTTTGTTGTCAAAAAAGGAACATCAGTAAAATGTTTCTCAAAAGCCATAGCAACTTCTTGATCAGATCGCGTTAAATTATTGTTAATATTCAATTGAAAATCCGAGTTGCGCGGTTTGACCTTGCCCGTTTCACTATTTATTATTCTCCAGGTCATTTTAATTTTGTCGGATGCAGTTTTAATTTTGTTGCTTAAATGTAAAGCCTTAGCAGTGGAGCACACTTTTTTAAATATTTTAGAATATGTTTTTACATAATCTCTAAATATAACACTACTATTATATGATCTTTCATCATAAAGCTCGTATAACCTTCGCCTACTTTTATAAATTCCTACTGTCGCCCATTCATTAAATGATTTGCGACTGTTAAAAGAGAAAGTTTTAGAAGTAAATATTCTACTAAATTCACAACGTATAATTTCAAATAATGTAGCATACAAATAATTAGCACTATTTTTAAACGAAAGTGATGGAAGTCTTTTTATTATATTACTTCTAAACCTCTCCAAGCGATGTTCATTTATTGGAACAAACACAACTTTCTTATTTTTCTGTTTTTTGTGTATGTAAGGTAGTGATACTAACTGTCCACAGTGATCTGAACTTAAATTTTGAATAATTGATCTATGCAAGGGCTTAACATCTGTAAAAATGTTATCTATACAGGTCGCACTAGGCCCAGCAATACGTGTTGGTTCTAAGAATAAATTTACAAGATTATACGATTTAAACAATGAGCTAAACTTAATACTAATGGAAGAAGTTTCAAGGAGATTGATATTAAAGTCTCCACACATTACAACAGACTTGTTCTGTTTACTAAGTTTGAGTAAAACTTCTTCCACAATCCTTTCAAAATGGTCATAAGTAGCACATGGGGGTCTGTAAACACTTCCAACAATGAGGTGCTCGAGCTCGACACAAGCCATTTCTACAGTTCGTTCAACAGAGAGGCTCACAATATCCTTACGTTCTTTATATAATAATGATTTATCTGCTAATATTAAGGAGCCACCATGTAAACTTTTTTCTCTATTGAAGGAACTGACCACCTGGTGATTTCTGAAATTAAACATGAAATTATAATCTTTTGGCCAATGTTCAGTAATACAAAGGATGTGTATATTGTTACTATTTAAAAACAATTCAACTTCCAATTCTTTGCCCAACATGCCTTGTATATTTTGA